TCAGGAACATATAAATCCAATTAAATTAAAGTTGTCCTTTTAATGCTTTAATTCCTCTGGGTAGTCAGTCACCGCTATTCTTAGAGGGTAGGATAGAAATTCCCTTCCCTCTCTCCTCACAGGGGGAAATATACTCCAGGCAGCTTTTACAGGAAAAGAAAGTACTTAGGGTAAAGAGAAGATCGGATCTCACCCAGTTTCATCCACGTTGCTTTCAAAGTGCTTGGTGGTAAGTTTGACTTCAGCTGTCTGCAGCCTAGTGATGGGCCATATTACTATGGCCGGTCTTTCCTCCGCTGGTTTGGAGGGATGCCTGGGATTGAACAGAAGGGCTGCCACCCTCCCGTGATCAAGTGGGGCTCCCCTCCTTGCTCGTCACCCCTACAGGTCGATTTTCGACCCTTTCCAGGTTCCCCCGGCAGAGTGAAACCGAACACAGAAGACGGAGCTTGCCTTCCAGTGGCCGCGGCAGCCGCAATGGCAAACCAGAAGTCGGTACAGGGTTTTTAATCATGATGTTTAAGGCTTTGAGAAAAAAGGTTTGGAATATGTAAACTAAATTAATTTAAATCACAAACAGGGAGAACATGCAAGACTTCCTTGATAGAGTTGCTTGGGCATCATGCCATGGCTGTCAACCAATCACAGTATTATTATCCCATGAAATAATTGAAGATGTAAATCAGTATGATGTGTGTGTATGTTTTATTCATTTATGAAATATTTTCACATTGCTTATCACGAAAAAAAGTAGTGTCATGGGCATGCATGTATGTGAAACACAATTGAGATATTTAGATCTTAAATCAATATGGCTAATTTATACTGTAAAAAAAATAAAAAAATAAAAAATAAAAAAGCAAAATAATAATAGCAATATAATAATAGTATTAAAACAAAATAACCATCAAAATAACAATAATTAAAAGCCATAACAAAGTAACAAAGTAAAATAAAATTTTAAAATCAATAAAAATAACTAAAGCAGGATGATTCTTAGTAAGTGCTGATCTTGTGGACATAATAAAAATAAGATATTTATAGGAAAAGAGTAAGAAAATTCTATATAAGGTAAAATGTGTTTTATAAACTTTTTTAAAAAGTGACAAAAATTAGGTCTGGAAACATCAGTAGTCAAAGTATGATCAAGATCAAAGGACAATTAACCAGTGGAACAGCTTGCCTTCAGAAATCGTGGGCGCTCCATCACTGGAGGTTTTTAAGAAGAGACTGGACAGCCACTTGTCTGAGATGGTATAGGTTCTCCTGCTTGAGCAGGGGGCTGGACTAGAAGACCTCCAAGGTCCCTTCCAGCTTCTGTTCTGTTCTGTTCTGTTGTAATTATGAGCAGGGTCTATTTCTTCCTATATTCTTCCAATCAGTTATAAAAACTGATACAGAAGAGGACTTGATGAAGTGGTGGCTAAGAAGGAGACAAAATTAAATTTATTTCAGGGTGAAAGAACCTGTAGCTTGAGAAGTCTGACAGCTTTAAATTGTGTGTTCTGCATTGAAAGCCCATCCATGGAGCAAAATCCAGAGAGCTTCATAAAATAATAACACAGATGCATTTATTTATTTAGGGCATGATAGTAACAGTTGGTAAATTTAAAACCTTTTTTTATTATTTGCTCAGCTAATACAAAAATAGGTTTTAAACTCAGCAAGATACAAGCTAAATAGCTGTTAAGCATTCTAAGTTACTTATTAAACACAACTGACTTTTGTTTAGCAATATTATATGGAAACTATTTGAAGGGCTTAGATATATCCATGACATGTTTTGTTTAAAATAGGATATCCTATTTATAAACTGAATTATCAAAAAACTATGATACT